AAAATGTGCATCAAGCCAAGTGCTAGTATCAAGCTCAGGCTAGGGAAAGGGTTAGTTTTCACAGTCTGAGTGGCTGATCCTTGTAGCCAGCTAATGAAAGAGAAGTTTATTGTTGCAGCTTATTTTACTGAGGTATCCGTTTCACATCCAAACTTTAGTCTTTCCCTGAATTTGATAAAAACCAATCTGTTAGTCCCTGCCTATTTCCAGACTAGCTGTGTAAAGCTTATAAACATTAATACTCTAGTAGTGTCAAAGCGTTTTATCAGTTCAGTGATTCGAGTGGCTTTCTGTGCAAGAAAACACAACGGGAGCATGTGATATGCAAGCAAAACACCCATTCTTAACCTCTGCTCCCCAGGACGAGAGAAGAAAGCATACAGAAAAGCAGGAATCCCACAGCCCTATTCTTGGGGAATAATCCCCAACTCCACCCCCAAACAAGGAACAGGACAACTACAAAGATCCCCTGACTGTACAAAATCTCAAGCCTTTGAGACAATGAAATGCCCTGGAAGGCTGCAAGATTCATAATGCACTGGGGCCGAAGTCTTGTCCCCACAAGTGTGCGGGTGCGTACAGCTTCCACTGAAGGCAATAGGAGAGAGGAAGCCCCAAGGCAGAAACTGCCTCAGGGCAGGCGCATTCTAAATCATTTGACTGTTAAAAAGAAGTCACAGTGTCTGCTACTGAGACCAGCTAAGCCGTATAATATAACACCTGGGCAGGGGAGTGTCCTACAGCTGGGCCTCCCGAGGCCTGAAACACCACCCCTCTCGCTGGAGCGCCAGGCTGAGAAGAAAGGGCTTTCCGGCTGATGAACTCAACCACTAAGCGATTTCTGTTCGCCATCAGAGGCGATTCCAGCTCTGACTGAGCACGAGGGATGGGCCAACTCAGTTTCACACTGAAAGTGCTCACAGCACGTGTGTTAAATTTATGTATGCAAATCAGATCCGGTCCCTGGGCTTCTAACAGGTCTCCAGCCCTACCCCTGCTCTATGGTACATGCTCCTTCCATGAGAGGTAATGGATGAGATCACAAAGCAGCAGAGCATTCTGGGATCAAGGGGATGTGCCGGTGTCCACAGAGGAGCTGCTGCTGGTTCGGAGGGACAGCTATAATGTTACACAGCAGATGCAAGATGGAGCATTGTTGTTCTCTTTGAATATTGCAGGAGGGGAGACCTCCCCCCCCAGCCAATTAGGACACTCTCCCATTAGGAGGCGCCCACGGTGATTGTTGCAATGGGGTGATTTGTAGCCTCCCGATCAGTCGGGAAAATGCTCCTCAAATTCCCTGTTGGATCCAGTGGGCTTTGACTTAGGCTCAGCTGCACTCCCCACTGTGAGCTTGTGTGAACTTAGAAGGTGTTTTGTTCACAGCTCGGAGCTTGCGCCAGCAGCCTGGCCCCAGCTCCCAAAGCGGCACCTTATTTCAGTACAGAGAACCTCGGCCTTACGTAAAAGCACTTGAGGACTAAGGGAAGGAGTCCAAGACACTTGTGGGCTCGAGAAGGAGGAAATGTGCAATGACTTAATGCTCAGCTGTGCAGGCAAGCAGACTTGAGGCAAGTTACCCCACAGGATGGTCCATTAGACCTCTTCATGCACAGCTTGCTCTTGCCTCTGGTGCTGGGTTCTAACAACATCACTAAGCTGTCCAGTAGACCTTCGGCTGGATTCTCATCTCAAACTAGTTTTACAACTAGAACTGGCTTCAGTTGACTTAGCTCCTGATTTACACCCACATAAGAGAGAGGAGAGCCAGGTCCCTTGCCTCAGAGAGCTGGAATACCAACCGGAGAAGATGGTTCTGTCCACCTGCACGGGGAAGAGCCGAGTGAGGGGTAACACTGTTAGGTCATCCCCCAACCCTGACTGCTTTGCTGTGGAGAGCAGAGAAGCCCTTAGACTCTGCAGACACGGGGCAAAGAATTGGGCTAGCTGTGACCATGCGATGCGTGGCTGTTGCTAACCTTCGAACGATGCCTGAAAAGTGTCCAGCAGATTGCTGAAGGGGATCAGTCTCTAAACAACCACTGTGCCGGGACCCTGCGAGCAATAATCTTCCCAGCCATGGTGGGCGCTGCCCCAGGCATGGACAGATCTGAAGGGGCACGGGCACCCTGAGAGTTTCAGTGGGGAACGCCACAGACCATGCTAGAACTAGCTCATTTCTAGAGAGCTGATCTTGCCGTGGGGAGACTGACAATGTGGGTTAGACTCATGTTACTGAACTGTACAACCCTGAAGCATGGGGATGGGGGCAGAGTTTGGTAACGCAGGCCTTTCCAAAACAGGTGAAAGCAGAACCAACACCGGCCAGCATCTAGGTCCTGTCTGAGCCAAGAAAAGCTCCCACAATTAGTCCTGGAGGGAATTCTGCACCTGCTGCGTTTGGAGCCCTAGTAGATCTGCATATTCCTCCAGGACTGCACAATGCACCACTTGGTTGCAATAGGGCAGTACACAATGGTTTGAGCTCCTCACACAAACAGGAGAATCAGACCAGTCAAATCCAAAGCTGCGGCACACTTCAGGTGTTAGGTCCTGCCCACGCTAGAAGAGTGCACTGTACTTTAACCTGTCGGGAACTGCTGTGCTGCAAGAGGTCTAGCTAAATCTGTAGTGTAGACAGAATTAACGCCTTCAAGCTGCTCTAATCAATCTTGCTAAGGATAAGCCCAGTACTAGATCACAGAGTTCTGTAACACACATTGGGACCACTTGTCCCTCACTGGGGACACCCCACTGTCCACACTAAGGAGAAATCCTGAAACTCAAGCCAGCCTGAGAAATAAATCTGTCCTCTTACTCCTTCTTCCACCTGCATCTGTCCTCCTCTATCGCCCCATCCTGCATGCCCAGCTCCTGGGTCAATGCTGCTGGAACTGCCTCCAGGCTATGCTAAGGACAGGGAAGCCACCTGTTCCTTCACTCAGCTTTGTTCTCTTTGGTGCTACAATAAAAAATAAAAATTAAAAACAAAGTCAGCAAAACACATATAAAAACAAGCTTTAAGATATGCCAATACTTCCTGAAGAGGTAACACAATAACAAGTTCATATCTGAGGTATTTTATCTGCTCAATAGAACCTGACTCAGGCCTGCACGATGGAGGAGACATCACCAGGGCGGGAGCAGGAGAAGTTGGAGCCACAGGCTGAGAGAGACATGGCCAGGGCAGGAAGGGACCAGTCTTACGTGCTGCAGGAGGGGAGAGGACAGCGCGGGGAAAACAGCGGCAAGGAGCTAGATCTATGGAAGGGCACCAAGGGACTAGCTTGGCTGACACACAAGCAGTGATGGCCTAAAACAGCCGTCGCTTCCTGTATTGAGACTTTACTGGGCAATAGGGGAGATTTTCTTCAGCCTCTCTGCTACCAAAGGCCCGTGGCCTCATTCAACTGGGATGCACCATGTGGAGCGGTCCCCGCTCCGGCTCTCCTGTCCCTTTGACCCAGGTGAGCCTTGTGAATGCTGGCTGTGATTGGGGCTGTGCTGTAAGGTATCTGGTAGGAGCCCAACTGAGAGACATGAGCGTCACATGGACACACACACAGAGCTCGGCAGAGGGCAAGCATCACCTCTTGTCTCCTTTAGGCAACAGTGGCCTGTAGCCGGATGAGTCTGTGTGGGGACAGGTGGGAGAGGCTAATGAAACACACTGAAGAGGGAGCGTGGTGGGAAATTTCCATTGCAAAGCCCGTCCTGTCGAGGGCCACAGGAGCAAAGGGAGGACATGAAGCAAAAGTAAAGGAAGGGGGACCCTCAGGATAAAGGCTGCGTAGCCAGTCCAATGCTCCCCCAACAGAAACAGTGCAAGGGCCATTAATTGGGGCATTTAAAACTAGCCCTGGGAACACACAGTGGGTCCAGGCTTGCACTAGCCACGGGAGAGGAGTAGCTGGACTAAGAGACTGTCTCCGTCGCTATGTAGCAGACGCCGAGGTGGGAGAGTCCCCTGCGCGCTGCCAGGACCCAAGGGAGGTGGATGCCAAAGGGGAGAAAGGGGGAGGAAGAATCATGCAAGTCTTCTGTGAATCAGCGTTGTGCCCGCTTGCCCTTTGGCCCTCGGGAGCCAGTCCCAGGAGACTGAGTGGGCGAGCAGATGAGACATGCCTGCTGTCAGCCTGCAGTGACTGCAAGAGGGAACAAACATAAGGGGCAAAGCGACCGAAGTCCCTCTGGGTGTAGGATTGTCAATACACTGTGTTACACTAGGGAATTCCACCCAGCTGTTGACTGGAGAACAGGAACCCTTCCCCCACCCCAATGACTACCTCCCTGCTCCTTCCACCTGCCATGATGATGTCTCCCCCCTCTGCACACCCGCAGCCCCTAGAGACAATCCCTGATTGAAAAATGCTGCACATCCCTTTCCCCTCGCCCCCCGCCCCCCGCAGGAACAGTCACACCTGGAAAAACAACAAAAAAGGCTGGACAGACAGGCCTTGCCAACTCGCCAGCCAGAAGGTTTCATCATCTGGCCACTGACCAACCCCAAAGCAGGTTTCTTGAGATGAGGTAATCTGTGCGACTCCTTCCTGGCTTGCTCTCTGCCTTGGACGGAGAGGGCAGAGCTGCCGGAGGCCAATGAGAGAGAGAGCCCGCTCCCTCGTCCGTCAGAGAGACCAGCTGGTCGAAGGCTCGGCGCTGGGGGTGCCCCTGGACGAGGTCGGGCTGGGAGAGCAGTGGGAGCTGCTGCTGCTACTGCAGGTGCTTTGGGTGCTGGATCCTGCAATGAGATGGACGACGGGCTTCTGGGCAAACAGGACTCCTGCAGGACAGAGAGGGGTTTGGAACCAGGTTACTGGAACACCAGACCAACACAGTGCTCGGAGAAGGCCACCTGGCTAGCCCAGACCAAAGTATGCGGCAGGAGAAGAGAGGCCACCTGCCAAGGGACTCTACCAGGGAGAGTTAGCCCAACCCCGTTGAGCAGGGTCAGGAAGCTGCAGCCAGCATGGAACCGGCAGGAATAGAGCAGAACTTGCCCAAAACAAAGGCCGATCGAGTGAAACCCCTTGGCAGCTTCAGAGCCGTTTCCAATACACTTTTGCTCTGCTGGAGCAGAGCGCCGCTGGGAACGCAGCCCTCTGCCCTCACCATGGGGATCACCAGCCAACTGCGCAGGGCTGGGGATGTAAATGGAACGGACACGCCTCGGCTGGGGGGAGGGGAAGAAAAGCTCGGCTTGTTAAAGCGGCTCCTCAACAGGAGAAGGCTATTTCCAAAGTTCCCTGCGCCCAGGTGCGGGGTATCTCCTATAGCAGCAAAGGATGAAAAGCAGCCCTGGTACCACACACCAGGCGAGGAGGGATCTCTTGCCAGACAGTCCTTTCTTCTCTGCTACAGGGAAATGCAGCTCGCACAGAAGCTCTGCATTCAACGCCGCCTCACTACAAGGGGAGTACACTGCAATCGGGAGAGGTGCTTGCAGGTTGCATAGCTCGGATCTAGCTCTCTCGAACAATGATATAGTGAAAGCTCGGCAGCATGGGCTGCAGCCTGGGCTAGCAGCCCCTGCCCGAAGCCCACGTGTGCACTTGGCTATCACGGCTTCAGTGCCATCCTAACTCCAGCTCATTTGACCTTGCTAGACCACAGCTAGCTCGGGTGCCCATGCGGAGCTCGCATCTCCGGATGGAAGTGCAGACGCAGCCTCTGCCAGAGATCCTCTCAGAAACCTGGGCGCAGCGATCAGCCCCTCTCTTTATACAACCACACAGATGGCAGTGCCAAGACACGGTGCTGAGAAGGGTCTTGGCTATTAAAAGGCTCATGGCAGAGGACGGGGCCACTTTGACGGAGTGGTGCAGTGCAGGCTTGTGGAAAAGCAGCGACTGTGTCGACTCCAAGGTCTCTCAAAGTAACGGAAGTTTCGTTTTCACGGTTGGCAAATGTATTTCTATTAAGAGTATCCTGCTTCCAAATAAGATGGGGCAGGGAACATCCGGCCCCCAACTCGCCTGGATCCAGTCCCCAAGGCTCAGAGCACCCCCCCCAGCATTGGGGAGCCCGCACTGGCGCTCCAGCTCTCCACCCGCCCCATCAACCCCTGCCTGGGCCCCCTGGGCTTGGGCATGCGAGTGGAATGCAGGGAGCGTCGTTCTCCTCCTCCGTCAGGGGCCACGTCAGTGAGGGGCCTTATGGGGGGTTTTTTGGCTTCTCAATTGTGTGCGGCCCACGACTGATATTTTTGGGGGTCAGTGACCCAGAAAAGGTCCCCACCCCTGAAATAAGAGCTGCTTTCCCCGCTGCACCCTCAGCTTGGAGTTCTGCACCCTGCCGGGCAGCCATTGCTTCCTCACCAGCATAGATTGTGCCGTTAATCTCCACAGACATGTTAATGCTCCCAATGCCGCTGGGTGACAAATTCAGTGCTGCTGCCGTTGCCGTCATGTCTGGTTTCTCTTCTGTGGGGGAAAGGACAGCTGGGAGTTAGGTTGTGATCATCCTCTCCCTGCTAGGTCGCCACTGCACCACTCGGGGACAGACTAACGCCTAGAGGGTCCCACTTTTGTCCCCCCTTTGAAGTGAACACTCAGCCTAGCCCCCCGCCCCCCCACAGCAGTTTCATTGCTCACACTCCTGAGCTGGTGGCCTGATTGGGGAAGGGGAAGGACTCTGAAGTTGCAAAATACATGGTTCCTGTCTGCAGGCCATGACGCAAAGGTGCTGGCTTCCTCATTTCCCTGAGGCTGCTTGACCCCAGCTCTGCTCCATGCTCTGTCCCCACTCCACTCCTCCACCCCCTCCCCTGAATGCACCTGCCCTTGCTCTCCCCTCCCCTCACAGCACCTCCTGCATGCTGCCAAACAGCTAATCACTGCAGGTGGAGGTGCTGAGAGGGCGAAGCAGGAAACACCAGCAGGGGAGGGTGGGGAGAGGAGCTGAATGGCAGGGCCGCCAGTGGGTGCTCCAGCCTATGCCATGAAGTACACTGAACAGTTTACAATTGGCGTCTATTAAGTGCTGGAATTTCAGATTTACAGCCAAGAGGAAGGTGGGGAAGTGTTCTGTGCAGTTCTCCCAAGCAGCTCTGTTGGTGCACCTCCTCATTCCCCCAGCAGCAAGGCACACGGGGGCTGCCTGGAGAAAGGGGCGTCTGTAAATACGCAGAATTGTTGGACACGTGACAGCGCAGGCTTGTGACTACCACCAGGCTCAAACCCTGGTCCCTCAGAAGGAAAGAGTATGGGACCCAGCGAACATGCGATGCGTGGGCAGCACGTGGCTTTTGTCAGCTTCACTCCAAACCCTGCTCTGCTCTCCTGGCTCTAGCCTGGGTCCGAACAGCAGTTTTATGGCCCTGCAGCCCAAGGCTGAGTCAGCTGCCCCAGGCCAGATGCGGGTGGGCGCTGGTGTTTTCGTGCGGGGTAGATATCTCCTCAGCTAGCAACGGCTAGGCTGCAATACTGCTGCCTGCCACCAGAGGGAGCAAAATCTTCTCAAATACCAGACTCTCCAGGCCGGAAACAGAAACTGGTCATCTTTACCAACATGTGAAACCTCCTGCTTCAATCTACATATCTGGGGTCTCCCTTTTAAGTGGCTGCCCTGGGAACTAGGTACACTACAATTTGGGGATTTTGGTGGGAAAAAACATGGGGTTGCTTCCCCTACCCAGGGTTTTGGGGATCACCCTGCTTTTGTGGGACTTTCTCTGGCTGCAATCCTGCTCAGAGGTTAGCAGTATCGGTGCTGGGTTGGGTGCAGTGTGCAAATGCCAAGCAGGGGCAGAAGAGGTTTTCCTGTGGCTGAAATGTACGAGAGTAACCGCTCTGGCTGAAACATCCTGTGTAAATCCTACCCTTTTTCTAATTCCCATTGGACGTTGCATTCCTTCTGGGCTATCATGGCTGCTGTTCCAGCGAGAAATGCTATGGACACAACTAACATTTAACCCAAGAGCAGTTAAGGCCTAATACTTTTTATCGGCAGATTGCAAATCACTTTACAAAGGAAGCAAGTCTGATTATTTCCATTTTACAGATGGGGAAACTGAGGCAATGAAAGGGAAAGTGACTTTTGCCCAAGGTTATCCAGCAGCAGAGCCGGGAAGAGAACCCAGGTGCCCCGAGTCCTGGGCAAAATCCTGGCTCACCTGAAGCCAGCAGCAATGCTTCTGTCAGCTCCAGCAGGACCAAGATCTGACCCTAGGCCACGTGTCCTCTCAACCAGAGCTACCCAGTGCAGAACTGCTGCTGCTGCTAATGAGCAACGGCGTCCAGACAGCCCTTTCCCTTTCCCCATGCAACGTTAAACCACCGTGGCCTGGCGGCGTTTGCCTCCGAAGGTGCAATTAGATGGGGTTTGAGCTCTTTAATTTAAATGGATGAAAACGTTTGAAGAAGAAAAAACAGCTGTTGGACTGAAATCTTCTGAGACACTTCTGGCTTCTCGTTCCCTCTCACCACAGCCCTCAGGGCAGAGGGGTGGAAGTGCTGTGCTATTTAATCAGCTCTGGAAGTCACATTAGAATTACACCGATTCTGACAAGTGACCTTTAAGGATGGACTCTACATTCACTCAGTCTTTTCAGCGGCAGTTTCCCCCCACTGGGAGTGCTGCTTGCACTCAAACCTCTAATGGAGCCTGCACATGTCTGGAGACTATGATGTGAGACAATCTCCTCCGGTAGCAGAATGCCAGGGGGGTTTCCTTGGATCTGGGAGCAAGGGCAGTGGCACATGGATCTAGAGAAGCTGGGTCATTTCTCCTCGGAAGCAGAGTCACCAGCAATACCATCACTAGAATCATAGGATCCTAGGCTGGGAGAGACCTCAGGAGTCTTCGAGTCCAGCCCCTTGCACAAGGCAGGACCAACCCCAACTAAATCAACCCAGCCAGGGCTTTGTCAATCCAAGATTTAAAAACCTCCAGGGATGGAGATTCCACCCTGTCCCCTAGGGAACCCATCCCAAGGCTTCCCCACCTACCTAGGGAAATAGTTTTTCTTAATGTCCAACCTAGACCTCCCCCCCTGTAATTTAAGATAATTGTTTCTTGCTCTGCCATCTGTTGCTACTGAGAACAGCCTTTCTCCATCCCCCCTGGAACCTCCCTTCAGGAAGTTGAAGGCTGCTATCAAATCCCCCCTCACTCTTCTCTTCTGCAGACTAAACAAAACCAAGTCCCTCAGCCTCTCCTCGTAGGTCCAGTCCCCTCATCATTTTGGTTTCCTTTCCCTGGATCCTCTCCAATGTATCCACATCCTTTCTATCATGGGGGGCCCAGAACTTGACGCAATACTCCAGATGTGGCCTCACCAGTGCTGAATAAAGGGAATAATCACTTCCCTAGATCTGCTGGCAATGCTCCTTCTAATGCAACCCAATATGCCATTTGTCTTCTTGGCTACAAGGGCACACTGTTCACTCATATCCAGCTTCTCATCCACTGTTTGTGGGATCAGGTAAGGGATGTCAGGAAATTCATGCCCGGCTGCAACACAGTGGCACCAGAATCTGCTATCCCTAGGCTATTCTAGGAACCAGGGATAGCCGGGGGCTGTGTGGGCGCACCCAGCGAGTGGGATAGGTTGCGTAAGTGCCAGAGTGCCATTGCCTAAAGTCCTGCTCTGGAGTGAAGACCCTATACCTGGGGCATAAAGAAAGGCTTCCCCGCTTTGGGGTGCTCAGTCCAGCACACAAAGAACCCCTCATCTAGCAAGGGCATCTCCTCACCCCTGCCATTGATTTTGATCTTCATGGGGATCTGCCGCGCCATGCTGAACAGGTTGCGCTGCAGTGCCTGCTGGACAAGACGCTGCTCCTCCTCTGTCATCCGCGAGAGTTTCTTCTCGGGCGGCTCTCCAGCCTCCAGCCTCTCCCTCAGCTGTTCCAGTGTGGCTGTCCTTCCCGCTGCACTCGCCTGCTGGTTAGCCAAGGTCACTGGCATGGCAATGCGATTTGGCATGGACACAGTCAGAGGGATGCCATCGCCTAGAAAAACAGTAAGTCAAGCTCTACAGAGCTCCCCAGGGAAAGCAGTCAGCTTCCAAAGCCCAGGATGGGAGGGGCTAATGGGACAACTAGGCTGCTCAGAGGAACCAAACTTGGCTGGTCCATTACATGGCAACCTGGTGGCTTATTCCCACTGTATGCTTGCTCCCAATCTACGCACACGTCCAGGGCTCTGAGATCCCCCCCGCCATTCTCAAATGGAACTGCTACTCCCCTGTGCCTCCTGCTACTCCTTCCTTTGCTGGAGCACTCAAGCTCCACTCTGGGATGGTTTGCGTGGCCTAGCGCCTCCAAGGAGTTTAGGCTCCTAATGTCCACTGAAATTGAGGAATCCTCTGAGGATCTGAGCTGATTTGACTCTCCTTGGGAGAGTGGTGCTAGAGTGAGCAGTGGAGACACACTCTCCCCTTCTTAATTCTTTTCTGAAACATACCAGGGTATTGCCAATGCTCCGCCAAGCACCCCAGCTACCTCTTATAGCACCATTCCTG